TTCTTTCTTTCTTTCTTTCTTTCTTTCTTTCTTTCTTTCTTTCTTTTACTTTCTGTCCCTTCCTTCCACCCCCTCTTTCTTTGTCTATCCTTTTTCTTCCTTTCTCTCTCCCTTTTTCTTTCCCTTTTCTCTTTCTTTTCTTTCTTGTCTCTTTCTTCTCTCTCTTTCCCTCTCTCTTTCTCTTTCTCTCTCTCTTCTTCTGTCCATATCCAATTCCCTTTCTCCTCCCTTCCTCTTTCTTTCTTTCTTTCTTTCTTTCTTTCTTTCTTTCTTTCTTTCTTTCTTTCTTTCTTTCTTTCTTTCTTTCTTTCTTTCTTTCTTTCTCTCTCTCTCTCTCTCTCTCTCTCTCTCTCTCTCTCTCTCTCTCTCTCTCTCTCTCTCTCTCTTTCTCTCTCATTCCCTCTTTATCCCCCTCTCTTTCTCCCTCTATATATATCTTTCTTTCTGTCCTTTTTTCCATCCCCTCTCTTTCTTTGTCTATCACTTTTCTTCCTTTCTCTTCCTTTCTCTCTCCCTTTTTCTTTCTTTATTTTTTGTCTGTTCCTTCTCTCTTTCCCTCTCTCCCTCTCTTTTCTCTCTCTCTCTCTTTCTCTTCCCCCTCTCTCTTTATTTTTTCTTTCTCTCTTTCCCTCTCTCTCTCTTTCTTTTCTCTCTCTCTCTTTCTTTCTCTCTTTCTCTCATTCCCTCTCTTTCTTTCCCTCTATCTCTATCCCTTCCTTAACCTATCTACCTATTTTCTGCCATTACCCTGTTTCTCCTTTCAGAGGCCCCAGCACTTAATCTATTTATTTCCTGCCCCACAACCACCTCTTTTGTTGTCCTACGGCCATGACTTTACCTTCCTCCCGTGGCTGGTTGCCAGTGAAGGCAAGCCAGGGCTGAGCCATTTTTGTCACTGGGCTCCCCACCAGTCCACGTTGCCCTTGTCACAAATGCCTGCAGCCATTGGGTATTTTTTGGGTGTGGCTGAACTGCAGCTGCATTGGAAAAAAAAATCACACGGCAGCTGGGGGTTCTTTGCAGTGAAAATTACTGACCTCTGGCTCTGCTCTGCTTCTCTAATGCTACTTTCTAGGTACTGGCCCCCAGGTCCACCCCATTGATCCTGCTGCACTGGAGGGACTTGCCCAAGCAAGTCCAAGCAGAGTGGTACAGCAGTCAATGGGGTGAGGCTGCATGGCTGGTGCCTAAAACATGGCAGCGGTGGCACATTGGAGAAGCAAATCAAAGGTGGAGGTCAGTAAATTTCACTACAAAAACCTCCAGATGTCATGTTTTTTTAAATGGTGTGGCTGGACTCCAGCCGCACCCAAAAAAACCACACAGTGTATGTATGCATTTTGCAGCAAAAATTACCGACCTCTGGCTTTGCTTGCTCCACCTCTCCAAGGCACTGCTGTGGCCATCAGCAATTGTTGCACATGCGTGTGATGTCACACATGTGCAATAAGAAATGACTGGGCAGGGAACGGAGGAGTGGGCGGAGAGGAGCAGGGCCAGCCAGGGGCCTGTTTTACTGGTTCTCCAAACTACCAGGAATGGTAATGAACCAGTAGAATCCCACCCCTGTGCCCTGAGAAAGGCCCACCTCCAGTGCCCCCCTTGCCTCTTAGCACCCCCTAAGGTATTCCACCACCACCCAGGGGGTTGTACCACCGATTTTGGGAACCACTGCTCTAAATCAATACAATAAACATTCTGTCCTTCAATGAAATTATGAGCTGGTTTTAAATTTAAATATATCTATGTGAAAATTTGTGAGAGAAATTTCTTCTTCAACATATATTCCCATGTTGTATTTTAAAAGTATTACAGTTTGATAATATGTCTGAGCTATATATTCACAGAAGGGTAAAAATTCATTTTCCAGTCATTGGTCTGCATGGATGGTTCTAAAGCTGTCTTTCATCACCCATCTTTTCCATACAACAATACGAAAAATCAGTGGCTTCTTATACTGCTGTAATTTAATCTCATGAATTTAACATTGAATTACAAAACTACAATTTTTACTAGTCTAATTGTTCATCACTTAGAATATTTAGTAGATTAATAAAGGGGGGAATAAAAATAAATTTGACTTGAGTATAATTCTAAATACATTCATGGGCTGTACTACAGAAGTGATTTATTAGTGTCTACAGTCTAGCAATAGATCTGTAACTACCACACAGCCTCCCTTTGAAGCATTAAGTTGGACTGACTGTGTTAAAATTCTTACTTAGGTCAGTATTAAAGATGTCTTCATTAATGCAGAATCTTCCACACAGTAATACTAACATTTTCTTCTGCAGACATGGATGATTGTTTACCATGCCCAGAAGGACAATATCCAAACAACAACCATGACTCATGCCTTCCAAAGCGCATAGTTTTTCTGTCATATGAAGACCCGTTAGGGACCAGTTTGGCCACTACTGCAATTGTCTTTGCTTGCATTGCCACTGCAGTGCTTGGGATCTTCATCAAATACCAGGACACTCCCATAGTCAAGGCCAACAACCGGAACATCACCTACCTTCTTCTCATCTCCCTTGTGCTCTCATTCCTTTGCAGTTTATTATTCATTGGAAAGCCTGAAATGGTGACCTGCCTTTTGCGACAAACTGCTTTTGGGATTGTCTTCACAGTCGCCATTTCATGTATATTGGCCAAAACCATCATTGTAATTTTAGCTTTCATGGCTTCAGTGCCTGGATCCAAGATGAGGAGGTGGTTGGGCAAACGATTAGATAATTATATTGTTGTTTTCTGTTTCTTCGTTGAAGTTGTTATTTGCATTGTATGGCTTGTAACCTCACCCCCATACTCAGATGCTGATATGAACTTAGTGGCAGATGAAATCATCCTTGGATGTAATGAAGGCTCTACTCTCATGTTTTACTGTGTCTTATTCTCCCTGCTTTTCCTTGCCATTGTTGGTTTCTGTGTGGCTTTCCAAGCACGGCATTTACCAGACAGTTTTAATGAAACCAAGTTTATCTCCTTCAGCCTGTTATGTTTTTGCAGTGTCTGGTTGTCCTTTTTCCCAACCTATCTGAGTACCAAGGGGAAATACATGGTGGCTGTGGAGATCTTTTCTATTCTCTCTTCCAGTGCAGGGTTACTGGGTTGCATCTTTTTCCCAAAATGCTTTGTTATTCTACTAAGACCTGATCTGAATGACAAAAAGCAGTTGATGAGAGCAAAGAAAGAAGAACTATAATTCCATATTTTTTCAGTAAAAAAATACATTGTCATACATATTCACAAAATTCAACTCAAACCTGGAACTGCTTTATAATTAATATCTTGCAAGTCATGGCAAACTTATCTCTTCTGATAAGGCAGTTATGCTACAGGCAGTTATCTATATTACTTACCATAGACTTTCAAACAAATTAACAAAAATGATATCCACCTGCATTCTAATAAATAAAACACTAACAATGAATTACTTATTCTCCTGAAATAATATTTTCATCTTCTTTCTTTCCTTCCTTCTAATTACTTATGAAATAGTATTGAGAATACATTAACATACTTGTACAGCTCACTTGTACACTGTTCCCCTCCTTTCCTCCCTTCCCTCCTCCTCCTCCTCCTAATTTGAATGAGTACCATTCTAGGTATCTACCATACTAGGGTGTTTAATTCTAATATAATAGTTTTCAACTTTGATAGGACTATTCTAAAAAGTACAGTATTTTATGACAACATGTCTCTCCACCATCTCCCCACTTTAGCTCCACAAGTTCCTGAGAAGTACTTTCTTTAAAAACTGTGCTGGAGAAAACATTTATTTTGATCATGATGGACATATAATTGCTGAATTTGATATTTTCAACTGGATCACATATTCAAATAACATATTTACAAATGTCAAAGTTGGATGGATAGACCCAAATTCATTCTCTTCTTAATTGCTCAACATTCATGAAGACTCCATTGTATGGCCTGCTAGATTCAACCAGATATATATTTTGTATAGATCTGGGGATAGTTTAGTTCACATTTTGAATGTTCAGAGTGTTCTTTTTCATAAGCTTTTCATAAGCTGGTTTATTGGTCTTAGTTGAAACAAAAGGTTTTGGTAATAACATTATGTTTAGACAAATTATTGTTGTTGCTTATACTATCACTATGTATTCCAATTGATCAAAGTGAAGAAACAATTTCTTTTTCAAATCAAATTAAAGATAGAAACAAACAAGCTGCAGAGTAGCCATTAAAATATAGTAATATTTGTGCTTTCATGTGTTTGAGAATTGTAATTTGAGTTTTAAAGAAGAGGAGTTTAATATGCCTTCCAGGGTGCAGCATATTAAAAAAGTTGGTTTTTCTGGTCTTTACTAAAATGATTGAGCATAGCATTGTAGTTCATCATCAATTACAATTACCTCATTATACATACAATTACTTCAAAACCCATCTCTGGATTCAACCCTCTACTTTTGATGTAGAAACCATTAGATAAAAAAAATCTAACTCCATTCTTGCACATAGGAAAGCAGAAATAGTTAATATAAGAAACAGCAGCTTAGATGTTACCCATCATTATTTAAAAGTAAATAACTATTGCTGATGTTATTGTGCCAAAGAAATAATGAGCTATACTCAATTAAAAACAAACATGAAAGAATTTTCCAGAAACCTTCACTATATGCTAGAAAAGAAGTTACTTTTTTTTTCATATTTTACTTTTGCCTGTCTTGTTTACTAGAATAAATACCCTCATGGAATGGCAAATTGATTCTTAATCCATTCATGTTCATTTTAGAAAAGATCTCATTCACTTTGCAATGACAATTGTCATTCAGGTTCAAGTAAGACCAAGTTAGAAGGGAAACCCTTTTGCTGCTATAGGTGCCGTCCATGTCCAGAGGGGAAGATTGCCAATCAGAAGGGTAGGTTATATTCAGCATAAAACACCAAAGATTCCTTGATAACCTGTGTGGAACGTAAGTCAAGGAAATTCATTCTACCGTGTTTCTCATATAATAAGGCCGGGTCTTATTTTTTTTTGAGCCCCGAAAAAATGGCTAGGCCGTCTTTTCGGGGGTGACTTAATTTCCCCCCCCCTTGCATCTTCGGGCAGGCGGGCGGCGACGGCTTGGATGTTGATCTCGGCGTTGGTGGGGCATTTTGTATCAGGGTCAACGCAGGCAGCACCATATCCGGGTGTGCAACAAAAGTACTTCCTGACGGCAAGCCCCCCTGCCATTTCCTCCCCATTTCGCATGTTTTAATATAGGCCTTAATTTGGGGAGAGGGGCTTAATTTCATTTCATGCCTATAAAACATGATGGGACTTCCTATTGGGGGAGGCCGTATTGTTGGAGAAACAGGGTAGTTACATATTATATGAGAAAAATAATGATGCTGATTTAGTTTTTATTTTATTTTAGTTTAGTTTATTGTCATTGCATCTCATACAATGAAATCAAACACCATCTTCAGTACATATCATGACCATGACCATGAAAATAAACATAAACACACATTCTTCACCCTTCACACATTGAACCGGGATTGATGGGGATGAATAAAATAAATCAGAACATTCCATCCACTCATTAATCCTTTCTGTTCTAGGCCTGGGATTGATGTTTGTCCTTGTCTAATGGTCTCCCTTTTTTGAGGATTTTATTACTATATTTTAGTCTGGGCTGCCTGTTGATCAACTGGTCCTAATCATTATTCTGTTGCTTTTCTTTTTTAGCTTATAGTTCTCCCATCATTCGAGCATTACATTATATTCAAAATTCCTTGCCCACTGATTCTTGCAATGTAATCTTGCAATCTCACAATATTCATTCTCCAAATTCAAATTCATTAACACTTTATAGACTTCAGCAATAATATGTTCATCACCACCATACAGTAGGATTTTCAATTCATTTTTCATAACACTTTTTCTCTGATTTAACCAGGGGACACATCCTTCTGATTCTAACTACTCTTTAGATTTGAGCATAGGCTCACCAAAATTAAAAGATATTAATTGACATGAAGTCCACCAGTCTGGATTTGCAACAATTTCTTTTCTTAAAAATAAGCTTCCAGGGTGGACATCCAAAGAGGCATCTTCACCTTGTGTTATATTTATTCCAAACCCTTAGGAAGGCTATCAATTAACTGGTCCTAACCATTATTCTGCTGCTGTTTTTAAGCTCTGTACATTGTCTACAGTCCACTGGAGGTGGGTGGGTAATTAATTTAAATAAATATATAAATTTGCCACTGCATCCAATTTGTATAACACTATATAAAGACTTTGTATCCTTCCCTCTAAATTAACACAATAGATATTCTGTCCTTCAATGAAAGTATGAGTTGGTCTTCAATTTAAATATATCCATGAGAAAATTTGTGAGAGAAATTTCTTCTTAGATTGTATTCCTATGTTGTATTTTATAAGTATTAGAGTTTGATAATATGTCTGAGATATATATTCACAGAAGGGTAGAAATTCATTTTCCAGCCATTGGTCTCCATGGATTCTAAAACTGTCTTTCATCACCCATCTTTCCCACACAACAATAAGAAAATTTAATGGCTTCTTATACTGCTGTAATTTAATCTGATGAATTTAACATTGAATTACAACAATTACAATTTTTACTAGTCTAATTGTTCATTAATTAGTATATTTAGTAGATCAATAAAAGGGGGGGAGTAAAAATAAATTTGACTTGAATATAATTCTATCCACATTCCTTGACTGTACTACGGAAGTGATTTATTTGTTTCTACAGTCTAGCAATAGATCTGTAACTACTTGAAGCATTGAAGCATTATGCTGGACTGACAGTGCTAAGATCTTAGGTCGTATTAAATATGTCTTCAATAATGCAGAATCTTCCACACTGTAATAATAACATTTTCTTTTGCAGACATGGATGATTGCATATCATGCCCAGAAGGACAATATCCAAACAACAACCATGACTCATGCCTTCCAAAGTGCATAGTTTTTCTGTCATATGAAGACCCGTTAGGGACCAGTTTGGCCACTACTGCAATTGTCTTTGCTTACTTTGCCATTGTGGTTCTTGGGATCATCATCAAATACCAGGACACTCCCATAGTCAAGGCCAACAACCGGAACATCACCTACCTTCTTCTCATCTCTCTTGTGCTCGCATTACTTTGCAGTTTATTATTCATTGGACAACCTGAAATGGTGACCTGCCTTTTGTGACAAACTGCTTTTGGGATTGTCTTCTCAGTAGCCATTTCATATATATTGACCAAAACCATCATTGTAATTTTAGCTTTCATGGCTTCAGTGCCAGGATCCAAGATGAGGAGGTGGTTGGGCAAACGATTAGATAATTATATTGTTGTTTTCTGTTTCTTCGTTGAAGTTGTTAATTGAATTGTATGGCTTTTAACTTCACCCCCATACTCAGATGCTGATATGAACCTAATGGCAGATGAAATCATTCTGGGATGTAATGAAGGCTCTACTCTCATGTTTTACTGTGTCTTATTCTCCCTGCTTTTCCTTGCCATTGTTTTCTTCGGTGTGGCTTTCCAAGCACGGCATTTACCAGACAGTTTTAGTGAGACCAAGTTTATCTCTTTCAGCCTGTTGTGCTTTTGCAGTGTCTGGTTGTCCTTTTTCCCAACCTATCTGAGCACCAAGGGGAAATACATGGTGGCTATGGAGATCTTTTTATTCTTTCTCCCAGTGCAGGGTTACTGGGCTGCATCTTTTTCCCAAAATGCTTTGTTATTCTACTAAGGCCTGATCTGAATGATAAAAAAGCAGTTGATAAGAGGAAAGAAAGAAGAACTATAATTACATATTTTTTCAGTAAGAAATAGATTGTCATAAATATTCAAAAAATTCAATTCAAACTTGAACTCTTTTTTAATGAAGCTCTTGCAAGTCATGGGAAACTTATCTCTTCTGATAAGGCAGTTATGCTCTAGGCACAGGGGTGGGATTCTACCAATTCGGACCTGATCAGTAGATCTGGTTGTTATCATTCTCCGTAGTTTGGAGAACCAGTAAATCAGGCCTCTGGCTGGCCCTGCCCCTCTCCACCTACTTCTCCACTGCCTGCCTATCAGTCCTTATCACACATGAGTGACATTGCATGCATGTGGAACACTGGTGCCTGCAGCCTTGCTCTTGCATGCCCGTCAGGCCAGCCATTGCTGCCTGCCTTCTGCTGCGGCCCTGCCTTTACTGATCTCCCTGAGTGAGTGAGGCTC